AAGACTAACCTCTGCCCATTCTACCTTCTAAATAGCTGTTTTCTAGGGCTGCTACTCTCCATAATCACTGTCACTGTGTTAGTTTAGACTACAATCATCTCTCCTGTATGAACTCCTTGCCTTAAATTTTGTCCCCCTTCATTCCCCACATGGTTGTGAGAAGAAGCTTTCTGAAATGCAAATCTGGTTTGATCATTCTGTTGTTTAAAACCATTCGATAGCTCTCCATTACTTCTGGATAAAGTCAAACTCATAACATGGCTAACAACTTCCTTTTATATTATGGCCTTTGGGGACCTATTACTTTCACCCCATTCCTTCTTCTTTGGACTATTGCATTCTCACATTCATTTTTCCTTTAGTAATAGTCTCTTTTTTTTCAAATCCCCTCCTCTTTCTTTCTACATTATTTTTTCACTCCTTCAGGCCAGTTTTACCACTTATCCTGACCATCTTTCAAGATTAATGAAATCTGGGTGAAGGGATTTCCTTCTATATGCAATAGTAACCTTCTCTTGCTTTGTCATACTTGTGGATTTGTTTACCTAAACCTCTACTATGGTATAAGCTTCATAAAATTGCTCACTTTTCTTGCCATGTTCACAAAAATAAGCCAGACTTGAATATAGCGCTTGCTACACAGTAGGTGTTCAATATTTATTTATTGAATCAATAAATCAATGAAGTATGTATTGACCTCTGTGAGAACAATTTGCTAATAAAGACATATGCGTTTCCACTGTCAACCACATTTCCTAACACAATTCTATGTAAAGAAACAAACTTGTCATTTGATTTCAAATCTTTAGTAAAAATTTTTTATTTTTAATATTTATATTCTTTTTTATATACTTTAAATTCTGGGATACATATGCAGAACGTGCAGGTTTGTTACATAGGTATACATGTGCCATCGTGGTTTGCTACACCCATCAACCCGTCATCTATGTTAGGTATTTCTTCCAATGCTATCCCTTCTCTAGACCCCCACCCCCTGACAGGCCCTAATGTGTGATGTTCCCCTCCCTGTGTCCATGTGTTCTCTTTGTTCAACTGCCACTTATGAGTGAGAACATGCGGTGTTTGGTTTTCTGTCCTTGTGATAGTTTGCTTAGAATGATGGTTTCCAGCTTCATCCATGTCACTACAAAGGACATGAACTCATCCTTTTTTGTGGCTGCACAGTATTCCATGGTGTATCTGTGCCACATTTTCTTAATCCAGTCTATCATTGATGGACATTTGGGTTGGTTCCAAGTCTTTGCTATTGTGAATAGTGCCACAATAAACATACGTGTGCATGTGTCTTTATAGTAGTATGATTTATTATCCATTGAGTATATACCCAGTGATGGGATCACTGGGTCAAACGATATTTCTAGTTCTATATCCCTGAGGAATTGCCACACCGTCTTCCACCTTCCACAATGGTTGAACTAATTTACACTCCACCAACAGTGTAAAAGTGTTCTCATTTCTCCACATCCTCTCCAGCATCTGTTGTTTTCTGACTTTTTAATGATAGCCATTCTAACTGGCATGAGATGGTATCTCATTGTGATTTTGATTTGCATTTCTCTAATCACCAGTGATGATGAGCTTTTTTTATATTGTCCTTCATTTATGTTGGCCACATAAATGTCGTCTTTGGAGAAGTATCTGCTCATATCCTTCACCTACTTTTTGATGGAGTTGTTTGTTTTTTCTTATAAATTTGTTTAAGTTATTTGTAGATTCTGGATATTTTTATTACTTTTCTTTACAAATACATGCTCACCTCTCTCTCTCTCTCTTTCATTTTATGTTTCAAAGTAAAATATGCTGTAAGTAGGCAACAGGAAAAAAAAAAACAAAAAACAAAAAACAGAAGGCTGTTTTTATGAAATGTTTGGGAATGATATTTTAAAAAACCTTAAAGAACAATGACATGGATTCTCATTCTGGATTGGTAATCATTATCAGAGACATTTATACTAATCTATTCTTATAAATAAAAACCGTAGGAAAATTTATTACTTTTTTTTTTGTCAAGTAACCATAATACTTAGCTAATTTTCTATTAAACAATTTATAAGAACAGTAATCATTTTGTGTTTTCTCTATTTCATACTTCTAGGTGTCAAACTTATTTATGTGTCTAAAATGATGTTTAGAGACTTAACTAATGACTTGGCTGTAATATTTTCATCTTTGCAATTTTGGCACAATAAAGTTAATGCGAGAAACACATTTAATATAGTAAATGACATGCATAAAATAAACATGCCAGATATCTTGTCCTTCCTTCCTTCCCTTTCTTTCTTTCTTTTTTTTTTTTTTTTTTTTTACACGGAATCTCGCTCTGTCACCCAGGCATCTTAGCAGTGGTGCCATCTTAGCTCACTGCAACCTCCACCTCCCGGGTTCAAGCGACTTTCCTCCCTCAGTTTCCCGAGTAGCTGGGATTGCAGGCCCATACCACCATGCTCAACTAATTTTTGTATAATTAGTAGAGACAGGGTTTCACCATGTTGGCAAGGCCAGTCTCGAACTCCTGACCTCAGGTGATACACCAGCCTCAGCCTCCCAAAATGCTGGGATTACAGGCGTGAGCTACCACTCCCAGGAGATAATATTTTGTTTTCTATATCAATTATTTTCACCTTCCAAAAATAAAATGAAAATGGAAAAACTGAAATTGAATAAGAAAAAATCTTATCTTACTAAGCATAAAGTTAGAATAAGAGAAAAATTCTAAATTTAGGTACATTTAATTTTAAAAAATTAAAAGAAAAAATGTCTCATGTATTAAAGGAAATAATTGGTCAGAAAGCGTTCAAGCACTGCACAGTCCAAGGGACTCAGGAAAAATGTGATTAATGTTGGATATAATTTCTAAGCATATTATGTTTACTGATAGGCCCTGTCCCCTTTCTCTTTCTGTTGTATTTTTGGATCTGACTTAAGGAATTGAAACGTTCCAGTACAGTTTAATTAATATTCACAGATGATTTAGAAGTTTTTTTTTTTTTTTTAACAGGCAATCTTTTTTTTTTTTTTTTTCTGTGATGTGACCAAAATTATTAGCTAGACATTTATTTATTTATTTATTTTATTATTTGTTTATTTTTTTTGAGACGGAGTCTCCCTCTGTCGCCCAGGCTGGAGTCCAGCGGTGCGATCTCGGCTCACTGCAAGCTCCGCCTCCCGGATTCAGCTGGGACAACAGGCGCCCGCCACCACGCGCGGCTAATTTTTTGTATTTTTATTAGAGACGGGGTTTCACCGCGTTAGCCAGGAGGGTCTCCATCTCCGACCTCGTGATCCGCCCACCTCGGCCTTCCAAAGTGCTGGGATTACAGGCTTGAGCCACCGTGCCCGGCCTAGCTAGACATTTTTATTGGGTGAGCAAAATGGCTCTAGTTCCAGTGATACAAAGGAAACGTTACATTTACTTGGCCAGCTCCTGCTTCCTCCAAATTGCTTAACCCCAAAACTGCATACTCCAAGCTCAAGGTATGTCTTCATTGCTTGGCCACCTACACAATTTGCAGGTACCTGTGAGCAGAGCATGAAGGATGCATTCGAAGGCCAGCTCAGCAGCTTCAAAATCGGTTTTCATTAGCAGTTCAACAGTTGGCTTCCATGAGGTAAACCCTAGAAACTTAGAATAACTACATTTAATTCACACTTCCTCTGCTCTTTTATTTAGCTATGGAAATAAAAACTGTCTAAGTAATTGTTGCTATCCAGGTCTGTGGGAAATGACCACTAGCTTTTGACTAACCTCTGGGGATTGCACTACTAGAATCAGAAGAAAATTCTAAAGATCTGGTCATCACGGTTCCAAAACGTCTCTCGGAAAGCAAAGACAAATCTACATTTTTATGTATTGCTGGGGAAAAATTTCATCATCCACATTATTTTGTTCGTATAATTCAAGCAAGTTTAGGTAAAGTCAGGTGATCAGTTATCAGGCCATCTATACAGAGCTCACTTTCTAAAGTCAGGGGACTTCTTTCCGCTTTTAGTAGTTGGAGTCTGATAAAGTTAAAATCATGCTAAACATAGTTCTTAAAAAAAGTCTTTATTTCTTCTTCTTTTTTTTTTTTTTACAGAAATATCTGTTTTCTAACATACTAATGGTACATAGATTTAAAATGCCACAGACTCTATTAATTTTTAACTAGAAGTTCACGATGTTTCCAAAGAGCAGATTGTGATTGAATTATCTTTTTTAGGCCAAACATTTTTAGTAAATAATATAAACATAATAATTTGGATTGCTCATGTGACTTAGAGAGATAGATTATTTGAAAGAGAAGTTTATATTTGGTAAAGAAGTAGGGGTGAGTGGCATCAGAGAAAATTACTGTTGTTTTTCAATTCTTTGATTAATCACTTTTACTGCTTTATTTCTTTTGGAAAAGTATAGTTTGTTCTTCTAAATCAATGCATCTTATCTAGATGTTTTAAGATGATACAGAAAAAAATAACCTAATAACAAATGAAAAAACAACTTATATTTCTTATATTTTTCTACCAAAATTATACTAAATATCTCTACTTAAATATTCTACTGCTTCCAAGGTATGTTCTTTTTTTTTAAATTTAGGCAAATTGTGGAAAGCAATTGGACTATGGTTACAAGGGATGGAAATGTATAATTGGTGTAATAGGATTCATAATTGATAAACTAGAGAGAAGAGAAACTGAAATAAGTTAATTCCTTTCCAAATAAAAGGATCCCAGTGTTTTTAAACCAAGGGGAAAAAAGCAAAGGTCTGTCTAACTGCCATGTAAACTCATTTTAAATGTCATGTCTTATTACAACCTAATAATCGGAATGCCTATTTTCCCCTCTTGCTTGAGCCATCAAATTTGTCAAAATTTTATGATAATTCATTCCATCATTCCTTAGACATTTAAATGACAGAGAGTCCTAGTCAAGGGGAGAAAGCCTCTGTAATCCTACTCCTCATGGTATAGCTGCCTCCAGAGAGATTTTTAAAATATTCCATATCATGGTATAAGCAGCAGTTAAATTTCTCAATGTCACTGATTTCTTGCCGTTTTGGAAAGTGACAATAAATTGGCTACCTACCATTCTTGACCTTTTGACTTTGGAACCTCTGCTGACCAAATCTTAGCTTGCCTTGTTTAAGTCAGCAGCTCTGGTATCACTCTGATCCTCTCCCAGAGGGTCTGAAGCTTTCACTCACGCTCCTGAACGGGTAAGCTCCCCCTCTAGTGTTCACTGCTCATCAGATTATTCCTCTAACAAATAAGACAGAGAATTGCCTGTTTTTTTTTGGTTCCCTATCAAAGGACGGAGCTTGGGCCAACATTTATAACGGTTTAATGACACAAAGAGGAAAAGGTAAGTATAAATCCTACATTAAAAAAAAAAAAGTTCCTTCCTTTTGATTCCTTTGAAAGCATTGCTACTGTTTGGTTATGAAACTAAGAAATGCTGCTTGTGCTGCCTTGCAGGCAGAATGCATGGCTGAATAGACAGGATGAGTTTGAAAGATATGAGACGATCTCGGAAAAAACAATCCTTTCTGTTGGGAAGCTGGATGTCTGGTTATGAATAAATGACTTTTCACTGGAAGCTGACACTCAGGAACTCTTTATTTGTAGAGCAATTACCAATAGAGGAGCAGGATAGGGGAGGAGGTTGTTCTAGGGAACCCCAGCATGTTTTTCTTCCAGAATTTTAAAAAAGACCAGTAAAAATGAAATGCCTTCCATTTGTTTTTACAAAGAACCTGTGTAAATAGTCCCCTACACGAAAAGACCCTCACTATATTTGACACAGAACTACAGAAAAAAGTGCAGTAGATATTGGTGGTAGTTTTCAAGTGTGTTGAACTCAAGGTTAAAAGTTCAACAACTTCATTAAATGTAGTGTTGAAGCCTTAGTAAGACATAATCCAGAATTTATCATACAATTGAAAGTAAGAGAAAGAAAAAAGAAAGAAAGAGCAAAAGAAGGAAAAAAAAACCTGATACAGTTCTGAGAGGTTATTTTTCACAGTTGGTTACTAAACTAAAATCTAGAAGTTTTATTTATTAATTTTCAACCATGGGCATAATTTTAAACTAAAAAAAAAATGAAGTGTACACCACATTCTTCAAAGAAGGCGCAAACTTTCTATTTAATTGTTTCAAAGTGTGTTTGAAACAGTTGTATATGTCTTGAAATAGGTCATATAATTTATTTGAAATTCAGGTTGGAAATAATATGGCCACATTAAATTAAAAATGGTTTTAATCTTCTGAATTTTGGGGAATAAAATAAGCCCTCAACAAAGTTTTTCTTCATACTGATGATTCTGAAAGTTATATTAGTTTCATTCTGGTTTTCTAAGTTAACATATCTTTCTTAATTAAAATAAGGTAAATAAGTATGACTACATAAACAGAAGGGAAGAACTTCCTTTTGCCATATTCTGTTTTCATATTCTATCACTATTGATAGATAGTGATCAATATTCTCATCATTCTCCCTAAGCATGTATTAAGTACCTACAGATTATATAAAGCTACACCCTGTCAGAACTCAACTTACATTTTTAAATGTAATGTTTGTTATGGCATTAAAACTGAATTATTCTGTTTTGGTCTAATAAAGACCTCAAAACATTTTCTAACGTACAGTAACCATTCCATAAAAATATTCATTACCTTATCACTGTTATTTTTCTCTTTACTGGGTCTTTTAAAACTAGGTTGCTTGATATGGCAGAAGAAGAAGAATGCTTTCAAGTCCTGTAATGTTAGAGTACCTTAACTTTTTCCTGTTTTCAATTTTCTAGGTTCTGTGTTTTATTAAATTCCATTTTGGTGCCTTACTTTAAAGCTGACTTCAGAGTCTTGTTAAAAAGGTCATCATCATTCATGAACTAATGGGACCAGGTGACTAGGACCTATCTTTAATCACAAAGCAGTGGCCCCTTTGAAGGTTCAAAGGATTAATATTGCCTGTATGCCCATTCTGTTTTGAGCTTCTTGGATGACACAACAACACACAGGATTGTCATTTCTACTAGACTGAGGGATTTCCAGGTGGACATCTGTCTTTTCTGAACTGGACTCAGATCATACATCCTTCCCTCTGAGCAGCTGTTTCACGGGAGTATCCTTCAATCACATGTCTCATGCTAAGACTCACTGTGAGACACACAGTGTGAGTTGGAGGTCAGCACAAATATGAATGCTACCTTCTTTAATTTTATTTTTTTTAGAGGCTGCTCTAAATTGCTGGTTCAGGCAAAGTTTAAACCGCTAGAAAAATTTTAAAGTAAATAGATTGCATTTATAATGGAAAAATTGAATTGTGTGAAACTTCCATAGCCCACGTTTCTAGTTGTACACATTTCACATAAAAATTTGTAGTAGGAAGGAAGTCATGATTTATGTCAGTTTGACTAACCTAATTGCTAAAGATTACGCAGCATTGCAAAGGACAGGTAAAGAGACTCCTGTCAATCAAAGTGGTTATAGAAAAACATACAGAAAAAAAAATGACAACAACAAAAATTTAAAATATGAAATACATTTAACTACACAGAACCCTAAAGATCTTTGTAATATAAAGTGATTTATTATAAGGTTATAAAATATAAGAATGATAGGGTCTTTAGAGATGACCTCACCTACTTTTCTCATTGGTGAAGCTCCAGGCTCAGGAAAACTTGGAAAAATGGGTTGCTTGTTTAATGTCATATGGTGAAAAAATAAAGAACGAGGCATTCGATCTTGGCCTGTGGGTTTCAATTGTAGTGCTCTTTATGCTGAGGGAGCTTCAGTCCTGCTTTCAAGGTAACTATGGGTGCTTTCATAGAAATAAGAAGAAAAATACATCTTTGGGAAGTTTGGAGGAGACTTGAGTTATTTTAGGAGATAGTACTTTTTTTTTTTTTTTTTTTTTTGAGATGGAATCTTGCACTGTCACCTGGGCTGGAGTGCAGTGGCACGATCTCAGCTCACTGCAACCTCTGCCTCCCAGGTTCAAGTGATTCTCATGCCTCAGCCTCCTGAGTAGCTGGGATTACAGAGACCCGCCACTGGAGTTTCACTCTGTTGGCCAGGCTGGTCTCGAATGCCTGACCTTGTGATCCACCTGCCTCAGCCTCCCAAAGTGCTGGGATTACGGGTGTGAACCACCATGCCCAGCCAAAATTAATAAATACAATTTTTATAAACATGTTGAAAACTGGCCATGTGAGCTTATTTTTCAGAATAAATTATGCATTCATTGGTTAATCAACAACAATTCCAATGATTATGAGACAAGAGTAGGTGGTTAATGGCTTTTAAATTACAACAGCAAGTTAAAAAAAAATTTTAAGTAGGTGCACTATTTTCTTTGTTAACCCTATCATCCTAAGTGGGAAGGATAAATTAACATCTTGCTTTATCTTTGTTATGAACTGTTTGTGCCCCCTCCCCTCCAAATTTCATATCTTGAAATATAATCCCCAAAGTGATGCTTTTTGGAGGTAGGGCCTATGGGAAGTGATTAGGTCATGAGGGTGGAGCCCTCATGAATGGGATTAGTGCCCTTAGAAAAAGACGCCAGAGAACTAGCAGAGGGTTTTAAGGAAAAGCTGGTTTTCTGCAGCGTGGAAGATGGCCCTCACTGCCAGATGATGCTGGCACCTGATCTCAGATTTCCAGATTCCAGAACTGTGAGAAATAAATGTTTGTTGTTTAAACTACTCAGCCAAGGGTAATTTGTTATAGTAACCTGAACTAACTAAGACAGCCTTTCTGAGACAGCCTCTTAAATCAATTTTCAGATTTCTAAAGTGATTAATGAGGTCATACATCCTACCAGGAAAGTTAGCTAAAGTAACCAGATTTTAATGTCTTTACAAGCTTAGTTAACAATGTTAAAATTGATCTTTTTTTAATCTCACTTAGCATGTGAAAAAGTATGTCTCTTTCTTTGATCTCAGTTGAACTTTTCTGTATTCACCATTTATTCTATCATGTTCCTAACTGTATATCTGTGATCTAATTAAATATTAATCCACTCTATACACATAGATAAAAACCCTGAAACTATATATGCTCACATATAAACAGTAGTTTTATCTTGGTAGAGTGAAATTATACATGTTTTATTTCTAAATTTTTTGCAATGAATATGTATTTCTATCCTAACGTTAAACAATCTTTCTCATATAATGTCATTGAAAAAAGAAATTGACATCTAGTGAAAAGGACAGGAAGGATTAAAAATACATTGTTCATGTTTTTAGCAGTCTCTACCTGTTTTCCTACAAAGTGGGAAGTGAACAATGTATTGTTTTCAAGTATTTTTTGAGTGCCTATATGCATCTGGCACTGTTTCAGAGTTTGGGATATGTCAGTGAACAAAACAAGTGAGAACACTGCTTTCTTGGAGCTTAAATTCTAGTGAGAATCAATTAGAAAACATTAGGAAAACAAGGAAGTTTATAAAGGTAAGTCTATAAAAATTGTCCACGAGGAGATTGTGGTCAATTGTGTGTGGTAGCAAGGGAAGTCATAAAAATAGGAAAATGTGGAGGAATATTGAATCTCTTTTGAGTACAATTTTGGTGGCTATGTTGATAACAGTTTATGTAGGAAAAAGTCTGAATTTAGCCAAAGGAAACTGGTCATAAGGAATACAGATGACACTTTTGCAGGTTTGAAATCATTAAGGAAATAAAGAGGAAAACTTTTACCTGTAGGGAGCAGAGGCTTCAAAATATGGTTCGTTGCTCTCATTGTGCTGCTGAAATATTTACATGAACTAAATAAGAAACAAGAGTATTATTTGTGTTTATACTTAAAGTTCATGAGTTGCAAGTTGTTCTTTAGTATAGGACCAAAGAACACATACATTAAATCATGAATTAAATTGCTTGAATCAACATTAATTCATGGAAAGTATTAGTCCACGTGATAAAAGTATTATTGTGAGCATGTTAGAATTTCATCATTTTGAACATCCTGCCTTACTTCTCTTTACTTTTTTAAAATTCAATTCATTAATTGTCTCCATTTGGAGATTTACTTACTTTATCTTCCCTTACTCCAATCTCTGTTAGGAGCATAATTCTGTGCCACATTTAGTTAGATGCTAGTCCTTCATACATTCTGATTCAATTGTAAGTTTTCTTATCCTATTTTGCCAGAGAATGCTCAAGAGCAATGATTAAACCTTTTTCTTTTCTGCATCTACATCTCTATTCTCAGTGCCATAACCTTCCACTCATGAATAAATAAAATCATTGTTGTAAAGATGGAATGAAAGAAAACTTGAGCTTCCTAGTCTTCATTCTACAGCTTGATCATTATTTTACAGCTATAGCAATAAATTTTCCATGATAGTAAATATTT